GCTGGGCTCTGCTTATGGGGGTGAGAACTTGTGTTTTAGGAGTGGTTTCCCGGGCAGTCGCCAAACACAGACACCGTGTCAGACACGGAGGGCTGGGCAGAGGCCCAGGGAGACGAAGCCGCCTGGTTCCTGGCGGCAGCATCGGGGCCACAGGTTCCTGGCGGCAGCATCGGGGGACCGAGGGTCTGGGATCTGGTGCCATGTGCTAGGTCCCGCTGCTTCCTGAAGGCTCCTAGGGTTTGTGTGTGCACGTGTGTGTGTGTGTCTGTGTGTGTGTGTGTGTGTGTGTGTGATTCCTCGCCTGGCCTCTCTCCCCAGCACTCAGCCCCTGGGGGAGGGCGACGAGCTGCCCCTCACTGGGAATTGGGAAGAATGAATTGGGGGCCTGTCCACAGGAAAAGCCATCTCCTGCAGAGATGGGGCCACCATGAGGGCTGCCAGGGGTGGGGGGGGGCAGCACTGCCAGGGGAGTGGGCACCGTCTGTCCACCCCTGTTAGATGAAGCTCCATTCTCTAACTCGGTCTTTGTCTAAGGTGACATTTTGGCTTTAATGTGCCCACTCTCGTTCTCTTAGTCCAGTGAAAACTCGGGTAGGAAAAAAGGGGGCTCCGCGTTGGGTCCCCACAGCCCTCCCATGGTGACAGTTGGGCTCCGCCCACGGACTGCTTCTGAAGGACGGCCACCCTTCAGGCTGCTCTGCCAGGGGGCACCCATTGCCTTCTCTGGGTGACAGTGCGGGGCCCTGAGGTCGAATCCCCGATTCTCTCCCCCAGTGGCCGCTGCAGGGCTGGGCAGTGGAGGGAGGGAGAGGATGCCACCGCTGGGAGGCCAGGGGACAGGCCTGCTCAGACCAAAGCTGCCCGAGAGTCAGCAGGGCGCCCCCTTTCCCAGGCTGCCACTCCCCAGGAGACTGGCTCCCTCAGGAAGAAAGCGCCATCCTGCATGCCAACGACCTGCCTTTCTGGAAAATTCCTCTGAGTGACAGGACTGTTCAGACATGAAAAGCAAAAGGGAAACTGTGTGATGGCTCAGCAATGGCTGTTTTGGGGGCTGCAGAACCCCAGTCGCCCACGGACACTCCCGGGGAGGAAGGGCCTGGTTTTGATCTGCCAAGCGCAGGAACATTGACAGTTTCCACTTGACGTGAAGGGAAATCGTATGGGAGAGCTTTTTTATTTTATTTTTGCAAGGATCAGGCCTGAGGTGGCACACAGAGCAGAAGCAATCGTTTTATGTGGAAACTGTGGCAGAACAAAGATGGGAAAAGGGAGGCTAGTTGGGACTGCCCTGGCCAGGGAGAGGCACAGAGGGTGGTGTCTTGGGTTTAGGTCCCTGGAGTTGCCACTGCTGCTTCTCCAAGGATGCTTCCCACCAGGGGGCGCTGGAGCCCTTCCCGAAAGTGCCTAGGACGCCCAGGTGACCTGGAGGGCTGCTGGAGCACAGGGCGCTGGCCCCAGGTCCTGCCTGCCCTGCATCCTCTGGGGATTTCAGCGGGAGGAAGTGTCCTCAAGGCCCTGTCCACTGGGCTTCCTGATGTTGGGACAGCTTTTCATTCCCGCAGGAGCCAGATCCCCGGAGACTGAAGGGGAATGCAAGAGGGCCGCCTGCGATGGAGGGCCAGCCTAGGCGAGATGCTGTGGCCTGTGGCACCTCCCAGGGCCGCTTCCCTACATGCCGGCCGCCTTGTGGGAGAATCTCTGGGTAATTAGCTTTGGTGGGCATGCCGGCCGCCCTGACCATTTCTCTTTCCTTGTGAGATCCTGGCTAATGATTTGAAGTCCATCTGGTCTACCACGGAGCCCTATGGTTGTGCTTCTAAGCCTTAGAACGACATGTGATTAGACACCTGAGCAGTTGCAGCCAAGACAGTTTTCCCAGGGTAAATCCAGTAAGAGAGGGAGGGAGAGAGTGAGGAAGGTAGGGAGGAAGGAAGAGAGAGAGAGAGAGAGAGAAGGGCATCATGGGTGTAGAGACAGGAGCCTTGTGGGAGAATCTCTGGGTAATTAGCTTTGGTGGAAGTCTGGGATAGGGCAGGTTCTTCCCTGATACGCTCATTAATCTCTGTGTGATAAGAACGCCAGGTGGAAGGGAGCTGTGGGTGCGCTTCCTCGCAGACTCCCACCCAGCAGGTCCGTTTCAGCCTTGCAGTCACGTAAACAACTTGTCACTTGAACTCCTGGGTATTTGCGCTCCCCTCACACCCCACTGATGAGTTAGCCTGTGAAAATCGTGACGAGTTCATTTTGACCCAGCAGACCACTTGTATATCCTGGCGGTTGTACGCGGTGAGTTACGCTGCACAGAAATAGGCATCGTGGGCCGAATCAGGAAATCTCCGCGTGCGTGTGAAAGGGGGCGATTTCCCTCCCTACACCCAGGCTGCATGCCTGTGGCCAGGGCCGGCTCACAGCTCACCCCGGAAGCAGGGAGACCCGACCGAAACCAAGCCATTGTGCCCTGGAAGTCACAATTTATGCTTCTAATTTTAATTTCCCTCAGCTGAGGTCCCCGAAGGATTTATTAAATTTGCTTTGTGGAACCCATTAACTCTAAACTGAATAGTGATGTTACTCTGGGCTTAGAATCGGTGTGTAGCAAATTCTCGGTGCATAGGACTCTATTCCTCCATGATGGAATTTTAAGTCCATTGGTCAATGAAAAGCTTTACTCAATTTACCTGAAAGTTACTGGTAATTACTGTGTACAGAGGTGGCAACGAGCAAATGAGAACTCTTGCAAGAGAGGTTATTGATTATGTGGCTTCAATGAGAAGGTAGAAAACTCCAATGGCTGATCAGTGCCTCCCTGGTTCGCTGGCTTCCCCCTGGTGAAAACGGGTAACAATGACTACCGCTGATTTCCTTCTGTCCTTGGTTTGGTAGGATGACCCAAGCCAGGTGAGTAATTTATAGTGAATCTAGCTAAGTAGCCCAACACAGGGATATATGCAGGTCAATGGTCTTCCTTTAGAACAGTGGTTCTCAACCGTGGCTGCCCATTAGAATCACCTGGGAATCTTTTTAAAATCCTGATTTCCGGGCCTCATCCTCCGGAAATTCTGTTTCTCTGTTACTAATGTTGTGGCCCCACCCCATAACAAAGA